CATGTCTAACAGTAGATGGCCAACTCAAAACAAATTCAATGGTGTCTTTATAGATTCTAATTGTTTCGGGCATTTTTTTTTTGTCTTACTGGTGTTTTGCTTGTATAGTTTGGTTTCCATTTTTGTAGGGATTTGTGTGGGGCAGTGTATGGGCTTCTTGGTCTTTGTATTTTTGGTTTATTTGTTTTGCTTGTTTGTTTGTGTTTTTTAAGAGAGAAAGAGCATGGAGTTGGGTGGGTGTGGAAGGTGAGGAAGATCTGGGATGAGAAAAGCATGATTAGAATAGATTTTTATGGCAGTGCATTCTAGGTTGGTGCAGCCGTGGCGGCTCATGTCCTTTCCGTCTGTGTCTGCTGCCTGCCCGAGGCCTATGCACCGCTGCCCTGGCTTCCCAGACTGGCCTTGGCCCAGCCACTCAGCACCACTTTCTACCCTGAGGGAACCCAGAGGAGGTCTGGGACTCTGCAGCCTGCCCTGGCCCTCACTCAGGTCACACACTTGTGCCTCCGGTAGAGTGGCACACCCCCTTTGACGTTAGAAGGAATTAAGGACCGAGCGCTGTATGTCTTGAAACTCTATGACAAGACTGACCCAGAAAAGCTCTCAGTAAATTCTCATTTTATGAAAGACCTAGGCTTAGACAGTTTGGACCAAGTGGAGATTATTATGGCCATTGAAGACAAACTTGGATTTGAAATTCCTGATACATATGCAGAGAAGTTAATGTGGCCACAAGAAATTGTAGATTACAATGCAGATAAGACGGATGTATATGAATAAAGTTTCAGAGCCTTCTTCCTCGTCGGGAGGACTCCGAGAACGCCCAATTGCATCATGGCTGACTGACAGCGGTTCTGTTGGACTTGTATTTAAATTGTCTGAGTGTTTTACCCTTTAAAAATAAATCTATTATAAAACTATAAAAAAAAGAAAAAGAAAAAAAGAAAGAAAATATTTTTATGAAAAAAATTTCAAAAGAAAGATTTATTAGCTGGGTTCAGTGACACATTTCTCTAATCCCAGCCCTCGGGATACTGAGGCAGGAGGATTGTAAATTCTAGGTCAGCCTGGGTACTTTCTCCTCTCAACTCCTCTCAACTTCTAATATGGCTCCTAAAAATATAATTTGTTTTGGCCATACTAACAAGCATATACCTACTTGGGAAACCAACCCAACCTGAAATTAGGACAGGCAGCAGAGAGTACAACATTGATTCCAGGATTCTTTGAAGTTGGTAGATAAGCCATGTTTCTAAACAAATTTAAAAATAAACAGAGCCGGGCGGTGGTGGCGCATGCCTTTAATCCCAGTACTCGGGAGGCAGAGGCAGGAAGATCTTCGTGAGTTCGAGGTCAGCCTGGTCTACAAGAGCTAGTTCCAAGACAGCCAGGCCTACACAGAGAAACCCTGTCTCAAAACAAAATAAAACAAAAACCAGAACAGACAGAACCGGTGCAAACTAGAAGGCAAGACATGAACCACAGAGTTGTCATCTGACCTCCACATGCATGTCATGCACATGCGATCCCACACATGTGTGTGCACACTCACACACACACACACACACAATAATAATGATGATGACGATAATTAATGTCTATTGAATGTCTAAAAATCAACAGAAAAAGACTGTCCTGCCCCCCCCCCCCCGCTTTCTTTTTCCACATAAGGACATTAAAAACACACAGGAAATCCACCATGAGCTCTTAAACAAAAACGCAGGAAGCTATACTCTGGAGATGCAAGTGTAGAAAAGGCAGCTGTGGCCTTAGACTGGACCAACCTTGGAGCTGGGTACTATGTGCTGTCTTGACATCTGATCAAATCTGCAGGGTTTCAAGTGTCCCCGCATCTTACAGAATCAGAGGGCTGCTCCACTCCACACCAGCTGATAACGTCCTCAGCCAGACAGCCCTTCTTATGAGGATCAGGCTCAGGTCTTGCTTCTCCCTGAGCAAAGGCTTCAGTTTTCTGGAGACTGCAAGCATAAGTCAGTCTGTCCAGTTCACCGTCCTGCAGGGAACCCGGTATCCCCACCAAGCCTGCCTCCCAGAGATCCAGGTTGGTGGGTTTCAAGATACAAGCCCCTTCTGGCAATTCTGTGGATAGTGTTGTTCTCTGGATTGTGAGCATATGAGGCCCTTAAATCCTATTACTCAACGCTGAGTGTTCAGCCCTGGGATAGGTACCTTTCCTACAGCAACTAAGTGAAGGGGGTGGGGGGTTCCCAAACATGGTGGCAATCTGGCAGTGATGGCCAAATACCCCTATACCATCTCCCCCATGGCACAGTGAAATCATTCTAGAAAAGCCTTGACATTCCAGGCTCGAAGTACAGGAGCCCTGTGGAGTCAATCCGAGACCTAGTCACTCCTTCATCCCAGGCCTGGCTCCCCTGCAGAGTACCTGGCTGACTTTTGACAAGTCATTTTCTTTCCCTGTCTTCAGGTCCAGGCTGTAAAGTGAGGGGCAGTTCTGTGACCCCTCTGATGTTCCCAACACTCTGATAGCATCTACAAAAACCATCCAACGTGATTAGATTTATATGACTATAAAGGGTAAATGTCCCTAGGTTGTTTTGATCTCGAGGAGTTTGTCACCCACGTGTCTCAAGCTGGAGGGGCTACAGGAGACAATGAAAGAGGGGCCTGGGTGACCAACAAAAGACTCTCTTGCCTGACTCAGTTCCTTCCAGCTTTGACTTCTCACTTGGCAGAAATGAGAGTTTTCTGTCTCCTCCCCTTTCCCATCCATGGTCTCTCCCCAGATCCTGAACTGTCTTCTTCTGGCCTTTGATTCCATCCGACTGGAGATGATGCTTAAGCAGACACAGAGTAGCAAGCTCTCAAAAGGCCATGCTCCCCTCCCTTTCCTGAAGGCAGAGTGCCTAGGGACCCAGAAAGTAGGCCAGGTCCTGGAAACCTTCGCAAAGTAGCACAGACAGGCCTCAGAAGGACCTGCAGAGTACCATCCAGGGCCTCGGGCAGCCTGAGCTCTGCAGCTAACAGCCCTCTGGCCCATGTTCTGCTCTGGAATAAAGGAACCAAGCAGCTCCAGACCCAAGCTGTGGGAGAAGGAAGTTCCGAACTAAAGCAATTGGACTCAGATAGGAAAGATCCCTGAACCCAACGGGAATCCACTGCAGTCCAGGGACAGAACGGAGCATGTGTAGAACGAGACAGGAAGGAAGCTCAAAGATTGAGAAAGAATGCAAGGGGGGTGAGAAGCTGAGGCCAGGACACCCAGATTCTGAGACATTCCCCTTTGAACAGTAAAGCCGGGTGGGTTCATCTACAAGAGGGGTGGTCCTCGAAGGGGGGGGGGGCTGTTCCTTAATTCCCAAGCCCTGGGGAGCTTTACCAAAAGCACCCCAGGAGTTCAATGGCTTACCAGAGGAATAGCTCCACTCCTGTTAGAATGTCCCATCATCTCAGGCACTGAGGGAGGAGATTGAAATTGCATCTGCAGGCCCAGGGAAGGCTTCCAGCAGGGCCATTACTGTATTGAGCCTGCAGTGCCGGTGCCAGGGCTGACTTCTATGAGGAAACAGGAGGATGAGCAGGCAGATGGCTGAGACCTAGGGCTAGTCCACAAGACTTCCCAACCAGAATTCAGAGACCAGGAGGTTCAAATCAGACCAGCCTTTTAAAAATATAGAGGGACAAGCAAGATGGCTCGGTGGGTGAAGGTCAAAAAGCCTGACCACCTGAGGTCAGTCCCCACAAACTACACAAACTACATGGTAGGAGGAGCCAACTCTGGAAATCTGACCTCTGGCCTCCAAATAGGTGCACTTGGCCATGTGCTTGCACAAGACACATACACACAATACATGTGTAAACAATTTTAAGTTTCATTTAAAATAATAATAAATATTAACAAATAAATCATTAGCACTCTGTGTTTAAAAAGAACCTCTTAGTGACATCACAAAGTTGATAAGGGAGAAGAGGTATCCCTGAGGATGAGAAACTGGGACTGGGCCTTTCCAGTTATCACATACATGCCCCCCCCCCCCCCCATTCTGAGAGTTCTCTCTTTTCTCTCCCACTAGCTGAAGGCTGTGAAGTGGAGTGGCTCAGCACTGAGGCTTTGGGTTCTAAGATCCTGCGATTGGTCAGTCTGCTAGACTACTTACCAACCATGAAGTAACAAGGAGTGGGATAGGCCCAGTCTGTTGTGATGGAAGTGGGGATGGAATGTGACCGTGGATGTAATGAGCTGGGCACAAAGCTCGTGAGAAGGCAACACTCCTCCCTTGTTTGAAGACTCATGGAAGTGAGAACATTCTAGCTGGCTGGGCCAGGGAGGGTCAGCTCAGGAATAGCGTCAGGAGCAGAAAGCATTCCTCCAGCAGCGCCAAGGGCTCTGCGTACAGGAGGTGGGCAGGCCTGGGCAGCAGAGAGAGGAACCAGGCGGGTGCACCTCTTGACTTGCTTCCGAAAGCCTGCTCTAGCATGGAATGCAACCAACCAATTTCCTTTGCAGAATTCCAGGCTCCAAAGCCAAAACTTGTCCCTGGAGGCTCCAGCCTAGAGGGAGAGGAGGGGGAAGCTAGCAGGCCTCCCCAGAGCACTCTCCCCTTCCTTTGTCCAGACTTCTGAAGGCTCTAGCAGAGAAAGGGTTACAGCCTTAAAAGGAGAGCAAGTGCTCCTGTATGAGAAGGAGGCTGCCCCATCCTTATTCTGGGGGTTCCCAAACTGTCTTTTCCCTAAGCAGGCCAGTCGGCCACAGGACTGAGGGTACCCCTTCAGTAACAGCCAGCCATCTTCCCACACCCAGGCGCGCCCTCACCCGATACCCCACCCCCTCCATCCTTTTTTTCCCTCAGCCTCTGATTGGCTGAACCCCGAGGCCCTCCCCGCTCCCCCTCTCCCCCACCCCTGGTGAAAACTGCGGGCTTCGCGCAGGGTGCAGCTACTGGAGGCGGTGGTGCATCCGGACGAGGCTGCAGCTACCAGAGTCCAGGTGAGAGCAGTAGCCAGGAGGAAGCCGCGTACACAAGGACAGCCACAGAGCGAGGGTGCTAGCCCTTCCAGCGGCAGGTTTGGAAAAGGATACGAGGGCGCTCCTTAATGAGGGCGCGGTAACTGGGAAAGGGACTTGCATCCCAGACTGGGCGGGAGTGAGTCTGTGCAGGGTCGCAGGCTTTTGCTGGCGGGCGCTGTCAGAGACTGGGTGCCAGAGGAGAACCGTAAGGAAGGGGACACCGAGGACAACCTTTAGTTCTGCCGTCCACCCAGAGGTCCCCACGTTCAGATCGCTGGGGAAAGGGGGTAGTGCCGCTAGAAGGAGGAGGCAGGTGGCAAGCTGGAGGGAGTCTCCGCCGTGTGACCTCGCGGCTGGCTGGGTGCGGGGCACCTCAGGTAAGGAAACCGCAGTGCTGCAGAAGGGGACTGGGTGGCAGGCGCGGGGGAGGGAAGAGCTAGAAAGGATCATGGGGGGATGGGGAACCTCAATTGGCAGAGGAGGATTGAAATACGGAAATGGCATCAGGGTGGGGTCAGCCAGGCGTGGCCTCAGGGAGAGACCCAGAATTTGGCTGGGTGTGGGCTTCTGAGACTGGGGCACCAGGACACAAACTGCCTCTGTCAGCGCACTCTACCTCTTCTCCTGGTTCTGCCAGGCCTCCAAGTCTCAGCTCCATTTCCTTCCTCTAGGGTTCCTTTTTCCTCCCCCGAATCCCAAACCCACACTCTCTCCTCCAAAACCCAGTGTTCTCAAATCCAAGCCCTTTGCGGGCTTGGGCGTGGTGGTTAGCCTTTAATCTCAGCCCTCAGGAGGTGCGGGCAGCAGAATGAAGAGTTCAAGATCAACTTGGTCTTACCTCACGAGTTCCAAGCTCACCAGGGTTACTTAAGGAAGCCTTGCCTCTAAAATAAATAAACAGCCCCCTTTCTCCGCCACAAAGTCTTGGGATCCAGCCCCCCCCCCCACCTGAGATGACATTCACTGTCGCAGCCCATCCTGGAGATCCCATTCTTTTCCCCCAAGGACCTTGGACTGCGAGAGTGGCAGAGAGGTGCGCCCTGCGCGCAAAAGGCTGTGTAGTCCAGGTGGAGTCCGGGAACACTCCCTCAAGCAAGGACAGGCTGCTCAGTGTTGCCAATGTGCTGAGCAGGGGACACTTGACTGCAGGGTGGGGAGTGAGTGGGGGGGGGGCAGCTGGTGGTAACAGAAAACCTATGTCGGGAAGCTATGAACACTGGACTAGAAAACTGCAGCCCCCAGAATCCTCGAGAGCTGGCGGCATTTGCAAGCATCTCTGGCTTATGTACAACCAGAGCGCTAAGGCTTCTCATTCATATCCTGTGTCCTGTGCAGGCCTCTATGGCACCTTAGCTAGACACGTGCCTGACCTCATCCCTAGTCAATAAGCTGTCTGGATCACTTACTGTGGGGCATAGCGAGTGATGCTTATCTTTTTTTTTCTTCTTCTTTTCTTTTCTTTTGGTTTTTCGAGGCAAGGTTTCTCTGTAGCTTTGGAGCCTGTCCTGGAACTAACTCTTGCAGACCAAGCTGACCTCGAACTCACACACAGAGATCTGCCTACCTCTGCCTCCCAAGTGCTGGAATTAAAGGTGTGCGCCACCACCATCCAATGCTTACCAATTTTCTTAAACCCCATCACAAATTCCTCCCCCCCCCCCCCGATATAAGGTTTCTCTGGCTGTCCTGGAACCAGCTCTATAGATCAAGCTGACCGCCTCCAACTCACAGAAATCCGCCTGCCTCTGCCTCCCTGCCTCTGGGATTAAAGGTGTGCCCCATCACATCTGGTCACAATCCTATTCTTACGTAAGATTCAAAGAGCCTCATTTATCCAGTAAATATCTTTTATCCAGCTCTCAGGACACAGTTTGAGGACATCCTAAACTACATTGGGAGATCCAGCCTCAATAAAATAATAATAGGCCAGGTGGTGGTACATACCTATAATCCCAGCACTCGGGAGACTGCAGCAGTTTGGTGAGTTTGAGGCCAGCCCAAGCTACATAGTGAGACCCTATAAAATAATAACAAATAATTAATTATAAATAAGCAAGTATATTTGTGTATCTATTATATGCTAGGACTGATCTGGGCATTAGGTATCTTCTCAACTAGTCCCCAAGGAGGGTGTCTTTTTGTTCAATGAGTATGAAAGTATTCATTTGGAAAGACTGAATGAGTTCTGGAGAGCGGCTGCACAGCGTCATGACCAAGCCTGACCCTCCTGACCCTTGCACTCGGGCTTGGACTAAGACAGTAAAAGTTATGTGCAGTTTACCAGATCAAAATTGTAAACATAGGCAATGCTTGCCCAGAGGGGTCTTAAATCCCAGAAAAGTGCTGGAGTCGCCCAGCAAGGAAGTACTCCAGGGACAGCACAGACACGTGGCATCCCAGAAGTGTTTCCTCCTCCTTTGCTTTCTCTGAGTGGCAAAGAGCCTCAGGCAATGTCACCTTCAAAGAGAAGAGGTGAAGGGAGGGGCTTGGGTGTCCGTCAAGGTCTGCAGGGGCTGTACACCCTGACAGTGAATGTGGGTCCACTTGTCCCACCTCTTGGCTGATACCCAGCTTTCCCCGCTCCAGAATCCAGGACAGAACCCTTGGCACCATGAACCAAGTCATTGGCATCGCTCTCCTGCTTTCAGGTACTGGGCAAGGGGCAGGGCCAGCATTCCTTCCCTTGGGGAAGTAGTCTCTTTGTCTTAGACTTTGGAGGGCTCAACCTCACTGATCTGCCTGTTGGTGGTCTTCAGCAAAGTGGAAACTCCATACAGGAGCTCAGAACTCCCCTTGAGCTCCTGTTCTTGAAACATTCATTGATGAGACTTAGAGGTTGAGTAGACTAGAGATGGAAGTTGGAGTCAGGGGGGTTGTTCTGATATTCTACCAGTACCCCAGGGGTGAGTGCAAAGCACACATCCTCCCCGGCCAGGCCCCACCCTACTCTTCCTGGAGGTGGGAGGCCCCTGCTCTGTGTCTCCCCCAATTCAGAGAAGGCACTGCTGTGCCAGTCTTGCAGATGTCCAGAGGACAAAAGGTGACCAGCCTGACGGCCTGCCTGGTGGACCAGAACCTTCGCCTGGACTGCCGTTATGAGAATAAGACCAACTCGCCCATCCAGCACGAGTTCAGCCTGACCCGAGAGAAAAAGAAGCACGTTCTGGCAGGCACTCTCGGGGTACCCGAGCACACGTACCGCTCCCGGACCAGCGTCACTGGCAACCCCAACATCAAGGTCCTCACCTTAGCCAACTTCACCAGCAAGGATGAGGGCACCTACGCATGTGAGCTGAGAGTCTCTGGCCAGTCTCCCACAACCTCCTCTCAAAATGTCTCTGTGTTCAGAGGTGAGACTGGTCCCCAGAAAGATGAAATGGCCAGATTAGCCGGGCTGGGGCTAACTAATCTGCCTACAAAAAAAGCAACCACCAGCTCCATTAGCTGGGCTGGAGAGGAGAGGGGCCCAATAGCCTTCTCATATTTCCCAATGGCTGCCTGATCCCTGGGGAACTGCTGCCCTCTGTGTGAGTGGGGACAGATCAGGGACGGGATAGGCAGAGCTTGGAGTAGAGACTATATATATTGAAGAGCTAGTGGAAAGACGGTAATTCTGTTACACCATCCGGTGGAGCCAGCTAAGACTTCAAGACAGCAGCTGCCTTAAAGGGATAGCACCTGGCATTGCCTTTGCTGCCCCTCCTCCCCTCACCTCCTTCTCTCTCCACAGACAAGCTGGTGAAGTGTGGCGGCATAAGCCTGCTGGTTCAGAACACCTCTTGGCTGCTGCTGCTCCTAATCTCCCTCTCCCTCTTCCAAGCCATGGATTTCATTTCTCTGTGACTGGTTGGGTCCACGGAGAAACAGGAAGCCTCAAGGCCCAGTACAGAGGTCCTGCTTCTCTGGGTCAGCTGACTCCCTTCCTCAGTCCCTCAGTCCCTTAGGGAGAAACAGGGACCCCGTCCCTCCTAAGGAACCCCAGTGCTGCATGCCATCCACCACCCTCTCCACTGACCGCTGGCTGCCATTTTATACTCTTCATTCCGGGGCTGCTTCTGTTTATTTCAAGTTTCTCCTTTCTTTTCTCTGGGAGTTTGTGACGAGGGAGGCCAGGATTAGGGACCTAATGGAGCATAAGGGTGGATGATGGATATTGGGGTGGCAGGTTACCAGTCCCTGGGGGGAGTTCCTCCTTGCCAACCAGGCCAGATGCCTGAAGGAGACAGAGTTGGGGTGTGTCTGTACCTGGTACAGTCATACTCTTGATGAAAGTATAGCCCAGTGGGCAGGGAGGGGGGCCTCAAGATCTCAGGATATCAGCATGCTGCTCAGCCTTTGTGGCCCGTCCAATGAGGATGAGAGCCGAAATTCTACAAGATTATTCTCAGCCGCCACACACACACACACACACCACACGCCCCCTCCTATCACTGAAGAAGTCCCCTGGGGCTCTTGAGCCAGGGCACATTCAGTAAAGATGCAGGTTCAACCAGAGAATTTTGGGGAGACGGGAGGAGGAAGAGGTGAGAGAACATCACCCCTCCTGTCTCTGTCTGCCACTACCTGGAGTGACTGGGCTGGCAGAGGAAGGCCAGCTCCTCCCCAGCTCCCAGGGAGCCAGAACTGTGACTGGAAGACCTAAGTCAGTGCAGGAAGGAGGTCCTAGAGCCATCCAGCTGGACCCGGCTTGCTAAGGGAGATCCTTGGCTCTTCTTTCCCATGCCCCTCTGTGCCAGCCCCTCTGGCTGCTCCTGATCCCCCAGACAACCAGAGTCTTGCCACCTGCCTCCTCTGGGACCTCCTAGGGTGAAAAGCAGGTGGTGGAGAGAGACCAAGTGTGAATACTTCTCGGAAGATAGCTTTTCCCAACACCCACTTCCCCACTGGCAACTCTGCCTGTCCTGTCACCGTGTGTAGTGCCACCACAGCTTACAGCATCTCACTGAGGGAAAAAAAAAAAAGCTGCACAATAAAACCAAGCCTCTGGAGTCTGTCCAGGTGTCTGTCTTCACTTCGCTCTGCCATGATCCCCAACCCGGATGGCTTGACTGGGTATTTCTATGGACAGAAGGGCCAACAGGACTCTGAGGACCCTGGTCTTCCTATCCCCTTGCCTACTCTCTCCCACTTTCTGCACACACACACACACACACACACACACCGCCACAGGAACACGATACTGGGCTTCTCTACGGAGCGACTCTGACGTGAAATCGTCAGTCAAAGCCATGTGTGTTCTCTCTGCTGACTCACAGGGCAGCAGCCATGAGTTCACCCGCCAACACGTGGGCCCCACCAGGCAGCCCTGGCTCTGGAAGTACCAGTGATTTTGTTCTGATGGGTGCACCCCGCCTTTTCTCCCAGCCCGTTTCTACAGAAATGCAACCTTAAGTCCTGTCTGCCGAGAAGGCGCGCATGCCCTTGAGATCTGGGAGGCCCAGGCATCAGGCCCTCAGTACAAAAGCAACCACCTGGGAAACGGCTGGGGTAGGCTTCCCCTCCCAAGTGGAAACGTGGGGTCCCATCCCTGGAACCCTCCTCAAAGAGTGATGAGTGAAATGTGAACAGGCACCACAGGCTGTCCTGGGTTTAGGGTCGGCTGGGGACCACAGGGTGGTAACGGGTTTCATTTGCAGTAAACTATGGAGACAGCCTGAGACAGCCCACCCTGCTTTAACAGGCAATGTGGGAGGAGGCTGAATCACTTGGTATTTAGCCTGGATAGAATAATTATCTGAACATTCTTCTTAAATATTCCAATCTAAATCAATGCCACTTGTTCCCAGTCTTCCTCTCCTTGCTTTGGCCTCCCTTCTGACCACGCCTGATGAAGCCAGGAGAAACCACGCATTGCGAACCATAAGCCATTAGGCAGGTGCAGCCAAGCCTGGGCTGTCCAGGAAAGGGATAGTCCCAAGACCCAGGCTCCCTGTTCGGCACTTCCGTGCAGCTACAAACATCAGACCAGAGAGTCTATAACGAAACCTTCTTCGCAGGGGAGAGGAGTTACTCAAGTACGAGGCAGGTTCGGGAGGCCCCGCCCTCAGAGCAGTGGGCGGTCAATTCAAAGTGGTTTTCTGGAAGGAACTGGGAGACCGGTAGGAAGCCCAAATGAGAAGCCTACCTGAGACCTGGAGGGTGTTCCTTGTGTGGCATTTGCTACACCTGGCAGTCTTTCCCTGGAGAACTTTGGGGCCATGCTGTTCGGGAGGTGGGGTTGCCTCTCTGAAGCTATCTCAGAGTTGCAGACTCAGCCCACGAAGCCACAGAGGACCATGAGGCAAAAAGGGCAGAAGAGGATGAAGGGGAAAGCCATGAGGCCTTGCAGTCTAAACCAAGCCAAGACAATCATGACACGGACAGGAATGGTAAAGGTTTTCAGCAGCTGCCCATGACACCCAGCAGTGCCTCGGGTTGAGTCGGTAAATCTGTGGAGGCTGTGAGATGTCTGTAGGATTTGGGGCTCCTGCCCAGATGCCCCAAGTCTCCCACCCACCTCTTCACTGCCCCTAACCTCGCTCTACCTTCAGCTACTAGCTCAAGAGCATCAGCTGCCAGTGTCTTGGGGCTGGTGAGATGGCTCAGTGGGTAAAACTCCTTGCCACCAAGTCTGATGGCCTAATTGCAATCCCTGGAACCCACATTGGTGGAAAGAGAACCAACTGCTAACAGCTGCCTGACCTCTACACTTAAATCATGGCACACCTATGCGCATGCCTGTGCATGCTTACATACACATAACACTTGCTGAATTGTATTTCAAAACGTTTATTCAAAATGTTTTTTAACGCCCTCTTTGTACCCTACATCTGAATGTTGTTACCCATTGAGACAAACTGTACAAGCTGTCATTGTCACAGTCTCTCTGACAGCTAGAACTCCCTTGAGAAGGGCAAGGAGATTACCATGAGATGTAGGGACTGTCATTGGCCAACAGAGAAGTCATCATAGCCTGGGGATCTGTGACAAGCAACTTCCTGCCTTCTTGCACAAAGTCTAACTCCTGCCTGAGCTTGTAGCTTTTGTATTGGGAGGTGGGACAGGTACATACATCTTCCTATGTGCATGCATGGCAGAACACGAGGCTAAGTTCCCTCTGAGCGTTAGTTAGCATGGGCTAGAGAGTCACCACCCATGCTCAATCCAGAGTGCTCAAGGTAAAGGAGCAACAACTTCCCTCACCAAGGCCCAGGGCTCTTGGTCTTAGGAGGTTGTGTGACCCAGAATCTTCTCCCACCCTTAAAGAAAAAGCATCCTTTGCCTGGCAAATGGAAGGCCCAGGGTCAGAGGAGATGGATTAAGACCAATGCAGAGGCCTGTAACAGAGGCCAAGTATGGCTCAACACTCAGGAAGACCTTAATAGTTGGAGGGTCTTCCTATATAGCCCTGGCTAGCCTAGAACTCTGCACGTAGACCAGGTTGGCCTTGAACTCACAGAGATCTGCCTTCTTCAGCCTCCCAAATTCTGGGATTAAAGAAGTACAACACCATGCTCCAAAGTTTACGATTTAGTGTCAGGCCAGATTCAGACCTATCAAGGGGTGCACAGGCCTCAGGCAGGATGCAGCAGGATCTGATCTAAGCCTGCGCTTAGCTCTTTCTTGTTCTGATTAAAGAACAGTGATTGAAACAATAAGTGGGGAAACCCAAGTGGAGAAACTCATACCTGCAATCCCAGTACTTGGGGCAGTGGAGGGCTCAAGCAAGTGGGGTGCCGTGATTTTGGGCCAGAATAGCTACATAATGAACCTAGTCTAGACTATGAAGTGGGACGCTGTCTTGGGGAGAGGGGAGCTGGGAGATGTTGTCATAGTCCAAAGTGAGGATGATGGCTTGGACAGAAGCCATAGAGCAAAAATAGAGGAAGGTGGTGACTTGGAGAGACATTTAAAGTGGAAGCCTGTGAACTTGGCCAGTACCAACAGTTCAGCTTTGCTATTGTGCTGGTTATACAGGATGCTACCACTAGGGGAAACCAAGTCACAAGTATAGGAGACCTCTAACCTCCCACCTCAAGAGTCAGAGTACAAGCAGATCCAGAGTGGGTCCCCTGGAACTGGAGTTACCCATGCTTGTGAGCTGGGAACTGAACCCAGGTCCTCCAGAAGAACAGCACCTGCTCCTCATCACTGAGCCACCTCTCCGTCTCTCTTGTACTATTTTTATTATTTTTATCTTTTCGGGGTTGGAGCAATCTTTCTTTTTTCTTTTCCACTATATTCATTTTTTAAATTGCCTTAAAGGTTTAATGAAGAACACACACACTCCCTAGCATAGCGGCTGGAGCGTGTGCAAAGCTGATTTCTGCCACCTGCTTGTAAGCCTCCCTGTCCATGGTATTTGTTACGGTGGATAGAATGGACTAAGACAGCATTAAATATAACCTTGACCAAAAGTCACAGCAAAGCTCTAAGGGGAAGATGAGAATAAGAATCAGCGCCAGGTGGAATGGGTCCACCTTTAATCCCAGCACACAGGAGACAGGGGCAGGCAGATCTCTATGAGCTTGAGGGCACCTCAGTCTACAGAGTGAGTCTAGGCCAGCCAGAGCTCTTCAGTAAATCATTTGTCTCAGGAATAATAAGAGGAAGGAGGAGGAAGAGAGGTGGCTCAGTGGGTGACCACTTGCTGTGAAAGCAAGAGGACCTGGGTTCAAATCCCTAGCACCCATGTAAAAGCCAAGTGTAGCTCCCATGTCTGCAACTTCAATATTGGGGAGCAGGAACAGGCAGCTCCCAAGACCTTGCTAGCCAGCCAGCCTAGCCAAAATGGCTAGAATCAGGTTTGGTAAGAAACCTTGTCTTGCCGGGTGGTGGTGGCGCACGCCTTTAATCCCAGCACTCAAGAGGCAGAGGCAGGTGGATCTCTGTGAGTTCGAGGCCAGCCTGGTCTATCAAACGAGTTCCAGGACAGGCACCAAAGCTACACAGAGGAACCTATCTCAAAAAATAAAAAGGAAGGAAGGAAGGAAGGAAGGAAGGAAGGAAAAGGAAAAGGAAAAGAAAAAAGAAGCCTTGTCTAAAACTAAATGAATAAACAGAAGTGCAATAGAGAAAGACACTGAACATCCTCCCCTGGCTTCACACACACACACACACACACACACACACATACACACACACACACACACACACACATTGTTATAAGTAAATGGACTTTTTTTTTGAAAGAATAAGTAAATGGGCTAAGTGTAATCTTAATAGGGAAGTCAGGAATCCGACATCATCCTTAGCTATGCAGTGAGCTGGAGGCCAGTGTGCCTATAGAAGAGCTTCAGCTGTGACCAAAAGATGACTCAGCAGGAAAAGGTGCTTGGCACACAGCATGGCAACCAGAGTCCAATCTCCAGAAACTCTCTCTCACATATAATGAATAAATAAATAAGTGATAAATAAGCTTAAAGCAATAAACAACACAACATCAAAAAGTTTAAATGCTTATATATATATATGAAAAAGTTTTAAATATACAAATATCGTGGTCAGTTTTAATGTCAGCTTGTCAAAAATAGTCATCTGAGTAGATAGCCTCACCTGAAGAACTGTTCTGATCCCCTTGATTGATGTGGGACAACCCACTGGGATTGTGGGTGGCACCTTCTGGCAGCAGCCCAGGTAAAAAGGGTATTGCAGAAGGAAGCTTTCCTCTCGCTTGATTTGCCCTGCTGCTGCTGCTGATGGTGGTGGTGGTGGTGGTGGTGGTGGTGGTGGTGGTGGTGGTGACGATCATTGATGATGATGATGATGATGATGATGATGATGATGATGATGATGATGATAATGATGATGACAATGATGATGGTGATGGTGATAATGGTGATGATTCACCAAGGACCAGAGAACAGCTGCTCTCAGGAAACTTTCAGTCTTCTGGCACCACATTGGTACCACTGAGGCTCCCTGCCTTGTGGACTGAGTTGCCATCCCCGTGCAGTGAGAAACAGCTATTCTGGCACTACTCTTGACTACTGAGGCTCCAGCCTCAAGAACCAA